TACAAAAACGGGGCTGACGGAGCCAGGAAACACAACTGTATTTTATTATTATTTAAATAATGAATTTGTGATAGCATTTCACTCTAAAGCAATCGTAAGCCTCGCAGGCAAATGTCTCTTTTCATAAAGATTTGAAAATTATTTTTGCTTAAGTAACAGCTGGCCTTGCCTATATGGCCTTAAATGAGCCATGCGGAGACAAACTTCTTTCGGTTTGGGTATGAGAGATTAAAAACATTAATTCTAGTTAATATCCATTTTGGTCCCTCTACACAGATGGGGAAAATAACATTAAATTACCCTGCTTACACACAGTCAATACCAGACACCCAATAAAGCACAAGCTGCAGCCCCGCGCGATGCCCCCGGTTCCAGCACGGGAGCCAGGCTCAAGGCAASCCACAACAAAGGAGATTCACATTCGTTTCTCCACGTTGCCACAGCCTCCTGCGTGACCTTGGCCAAGTCACTCGCTTCTTTCCCGTTCTGCAGGCAGGTAGCTGCAGCACAGAAACCCTTTATTTCCTAACCCCGTGGCAATTAGCGGGCTTACGGACAGGAGATGCGCAGTTAGGGAGGTCAAATAAATGGCATAAAGAGCATAAATGCACTGAAAGCTTTAATCAGCTCCTGCTAAAGCTTTGGGAGCCTGGTCACRGTGACAGAACCAAAGCTTTGGCACAAGATTCACAAGTGTCATCTACGAACGGAGCATCTGCAGGGAGTTGTGGACTCAGGCTCCTCAGGCCCACCGCAAAGACACGATCTGCTTTTAGCACCAACGCATACAGAAACCAAGACATCTCTAGATACCTTATTTAAATTCTAACTAGGAAGTTACAACTTTCCACTAAAATACAAAATAAGAAGAGAAATCATCAGGTACCATGCTGAGAGATGTGAAATACTTTAGGTCTACATAGTTACTCTGCAATTCATATTAACCCCTAACCACCTCTTGAATTTGAAAGCCACATTTGACTTTCATAGCTTACCACCAATAACAGAAACAAATCATCTTGCAGACAACAGAAATTTAAAGATGTCTCAAATGGTAGCCTACTGAAAAAAAAAAGGTGAAGAAAAGCAGAAAGCATTCAAAATTAACTCAATGCCATACATATGTTACATTTGGACACTAACCAGGACACACTATCCCTCAGAAACCCACAGATTTGTGAAATGTGTTAAACATATATAGCGTTAAAGAGTCTTCAAGTTCTAAACTTATCTCTTTAAAAGAAGGCCAAACATATACTGTATTTCCACGCAGATAACCTCTGACTCCGCATAAATAACAGTACTAACCCACACACAATTAAGAGACACAATCTACGCAGGGAGGCATTAGGAGCAGAGGGATTACAGGAGATAAGGCAGTGGGGGAGAGCCCAGGGCCAGGTGAGTATTGAGTGGGGGGGACAGAAGCAAACAGTGGAAAACCAGGAGCTAGGAAACTACGGAAGGGAGAGGAAGTTCTGGGATAAATTCTCCCTCGTATCAGCCGCATGCGTGTGGTACAGATGGAGCCACACAGCTGCTCCATCACAGAGCCTTGAGTGTGTTTGGGGTTTTGGGGGGGGGCTTTTTGGTTGTTTTTCTTAAGCAGACGATCTGTGGGATTTACACATGGAAATGTGGTCATAGCAAGCTACAAAAATACAAGTGAAGCTCATTTGTTTTTAAGTTACTTGGTTTGAAATATCAAATGGTTTTCATTATTTGCAATTGCATCTTATATGTGGTGTTTTACAAGAAAAGGTATAAAACAGTTCTTACCAAAAAAATCATTTACAACCTAAGGCTTTTTCTTTCAACACGTTCAGTTGCTCTGGGATGTGTTAAATATCTTGGACACTCATTACTGCAGTAAGAGTGGAAGGAGAGCAGCACTTTGCAATGCAACCAAAAATTATAGCATGACCAACACTGAATTGCTGTCAAATACAGGACACTGGATAAAACAACATGGGAAAAAAATAATAAAAAAAAAAAAAGGTGGTGAGAAGTCTAAGAGAAACACCCAGTGGCAGGGGGAGTCCTACACTTCCAAAATAACACAGAATCTTCTCTGTAAAATGATCTGATTTCACRGGCACTTAAGTAATGTAGGAGCCCAATTTGTTTTCAAAAGTGGCTTTGAGATTTTTGCTCCCTTAAAGCTGGCAGCAGAATAGGTGATACCTTGTGTCTTATACTGCTGCCTGAATACGCAAGTTCTGAGATCAGCTTTGCAGGAAAGGGTGAGGTTTCTCTAAAAGAAAGGAATCCCTCCCGCTTCCCACAGTAGCGCCTGAAAAACTGTGCAGAGGCTCAGGACAACCGGCACAAAGGGCAGCAGGGATGAGGGCCTCGAGGGCAGAGGAAAGGTGAGGGTAATCAAAGCACCAAGGGAAGGAAATTGAAACTAAGTTCTGAAATGTATTTTTAATATCTCACTCACAGCATGTTAATAATGTTCATATGAGGGAAGAAAAAAAAATAAAGTGACACTTAGCAGACTTCCCCAAAGCAAGTTTCGGCAGCTTTAAACATCACGCAGCAACTAGTCGCTCAATTGCTTAACCTCTTCACGCTCCCAAATTGACCATTTCTATTTTTTCTGCAAGAGGTGAACTTTCTCTGTGACCCTGACGGCGAAACTCATCTCACTGTTGTGGCAATCAGCACCTGCCACCCTTTTCCAAACGAGCTGCTGCAGAGGTGAAGTCCCTGGGCCCCACTGTGCCGTCCGAACCGGCTGGCCATAAGCAGAGCTGCCCTCCTTCGCTCTCGCCACSAAGTCTGGTCAAGCAGGACCATTTCCAGCCCAAATAAGCAATACAAAAAACACCCTCTGTCCTATTCTTCCTACTTATCAGCACATCAAAAGTAAGAATTCTGCCACTTTCACAGTATTATGTTTTTCAGACTTGCCAACATTTAATGTAATTTATTTGAAGGCTGGAAGGAATGTGGAATACCTGCAGTTGCACCGCGGGCAAATATTAACGGTCACTGCTTGTACKATGGACTAATTTTTGCTATTAGAACTACTTATAAAGGCTGAAACAACACAAAGTTACTGCATGTGCCTTCAAGTGCATTATGTTCAGTGATCTATGCAATAATAATAAAAAATAAAAGAAAAAAGATCACCCGTATTTTGACAGGTGGCCTGCCAGCTCATTTTTACCYGTGAGTCACATCAGTGGAGACGAGGGCAACCTACGGTTCCAATACTGTGTACACAAACTTTCAGACGAGACCTGCAATCCGAGATACTCGCACACCACCACAACCTTTGACAGATCTGCTAAGTTCAAACTGCAGCTTGATCATCCAGACTGGGGTAACTACAAATCACAGTTCCTTTCTGATCCATGTTTCTGCCTTTTTTTTTTTTCTTTTTTTTTTCCTCCAATGAAAATCAGGGTATGGTGGAAGGAGGAGGAGAAGAGAGCGCATCTGGACTTCATCCTGACACAGAGTCAGGATGCAGACAAGACAAACATTTCTAACCCAAGAGCTGGAAGCTCCAGTAATGCAGAGGTAGTCACTCTAGTCACTGAAACAATCCTGTCATAACCAAAGGCTTCCGAGTTCATTAGTTATCTTCCAAACAGCATAAATATTTGTGTGTGTATATATATATATATTTTATATATATAATATTTTATATATATAAAGACTAGCCAAAACATCGAATCATTGTAATTCATTTAGATGAACATTTAAAATACATTTTAGCAAACATTTTTACGACACTGATTCACTATACAAATAAATCAAAAAAACAGCTTAACTCCAAATTATTCTCCTTTCCCCCAAGCATCACTCACTGGTGACACTGTCAAARGATCTGCAGCCATTGCTGAGGGGCCACCGAGTTTTTTTAATGAGCCTACACAAGTGAGAAGGTCTCTTTCCAGCCTGGACTCCCATCGCACTCGCATGCCTTGTGCCATTCCTAGTTTCATTAGCTTTGATCCTTCAGACTGGTACTAAAGGAGGGGCTCTCAACTTGCTTGGTTACCTCGTGCCAATGCTCCCCTGGGACTACCAGGAGCAAAAGGCTTCATGGAAAAGACTTACACCTATTTGTGGGTGACAATTCAATCCTAAGAAGATCAACATAGAAAGACATTCATAAACAGCATTTTCTTTTGATTGTTGCTGCTCCCAACATCAAAAGGCCTCAAACCTAGTCCAGCCACAGCAAGAAGACAGGAACAGAGTCATGCTTTGGCAGCTGCAGTGAACACCCACTAGATTGGAAACAACCTGCTTGAACAAACAGGCACAACCAAAGATTTTACAACTACTGTCTCCTCCCCAAATGCAAAGCGGCCTGGGCTACCAGGCAGCGAACCAAATCAACCTGCTAGAAGCTTCAAACAAAAGGTACAAGTTTCTAAAACACACTTAAAACAAGCTGCTCCAGAAAAGGCAACAGAGTATCTCTGCTKCACCAGCTAACAGGTGCTCCTGCAGGGCACCTGCTCAGTGACAGACCCGCACTCTCTTCCACCGCAAGTTATTGTTTAGAACAGAACCCTCAGAGCTAAAAAGCTCACAGCATTTTAGTGTTTTCTGCTTCTTTGGCAGGAGCCTTATTTATATAAGATTAGTGCAGTCAAGCATTAGATTTATAAACCAAAAGAAAAAAAGCCCACAAACCATGAGCAAGTTTTCACACTCTCCTTTACGGGCCAGTTTCAGAAACATACACRCAACAGCATGACAGATTCAAATGCAATCATTAAAACAAAACACACACAAAGAAAACCCCCAGAAAACTCGCATCAGAACACATAACATCTTTGCAGTCCTTCTCCCTCCCCACGACTCCCTGGAAACTAATGCCATGCAAGCACTCACAGRAGCACTTCAAGCCATCTAAACTGCCATTGCTCCGCGCAATCCCAAACCTTTGCGGATGATTAAAACAAAAACAGTTTGCCCCCCCCCCGCCACCCGCCACCTCCCCAGCATTCCCCAAGGGAGGAATCGATACAAACCTGCAGTTGGGAGGTGGGTCTAGGGTGATGTCAGCCAATTCCTTCTGAATCCTGCAGCAATAAAAGCGAGGAAGAACAAAGGTAAGTCACCGTGGGGACAGCACTTGGCGCGTCCTCCTCACAGCCCTGCTGTCGCGGCGAGTTTGCAACACTGCCCAAGAGAAGCGCGCTGGGCTGCAGCCTCCGTAGGCAGCCCAGGCACACTGAGCAGGGCAGCACCCTGTCACACAGGCCGGGGAGCAGCRGACAGGCCCGGGCAAAGACGCCGGCCTCGGGGGCGCAGTGGAGGCGGCCGGCGCTCCGTGCTCGCGCCCGCAAGGGAGGGGAGCCCCTGCAAAGGCCGTGCACGAGGCGCCGGGGCCAAACTGCAGCCCGGGAAGGAATTTTGTTTTGCTGGATTGAGAGAAACACTCCATGCCAAATTGGCTTCCCTTACTCTCCACCACCACCCCCCCTCAAAAAAACCACCAGCCCCAGGGGAGTGAATAACTGAGCCATTCCCAAGGACACTTAAAAGAAGGTGAAAATCTGCATATTTCCAAGGCTGCTGCATATACCTGCCCTTCAGTTCTTCCCTTGTCTCACCTCCAAAAACAACAAAACAAAACAAACAAAACAACAACAAAAAAAACCATTTAACCACCATGTCCCTTCCCTCGGGACTTGTGCCACTCCTCTCCCCACCAGTCCAGGCAACTCCCTGCCCTCCCTCACCAGACTATTCTGGGCTTGCACAGCACCACGCTGCCTCTGCCACAGAATGCCCAACCAGCTATCATCCCCTTCCCTCGAGTCCCATTACTGTCACTCAACTTCCCCTCCAAATTTCCCCATCCAGCATCCAGGCTCCCTCCCTTCCCCTTTAAACTCCGCCAACATTTTCTGCCTCTTCTTACTTGTCACACACAACAAAAGCCATGGACGTTTTGTATTAGGCGCTTCACAACCAGCAGGCTTTTAAAAGTTATTTTCAAAATAGCTGAAAGAACCACACGTAAACACCACTTGCCACTATCTACACAAGTCTCCCAAGGAAACACGCCAGCGGAGATCTGGAACAGCCAAACTGCCTCAATTCTACAAAGCCACGGAGAACTCGAGTTGTGACAGCAGAGCATTTGCACGAAACCCCAGCCACTTTTGACATCTGAAGATTAACCTTTCTGTGCTGCTCGACAAAGCTGTTCAGTGAGATGGGCTATTCTTCTTATTGAAAGTTTGGTTGAGAACTGGATTTGCAGGCTTAGCTTTCTGGAGCAGGATGGTGCTAAATTTAGGCGAAACACTGAGTAAATAAGAAAGGGTAATGATGTCTTAACTGAAAGACTCCAAGAATCTGCCCAGGTGAAGAGAACTGACTGATGTAGCTGGAATTACTACTGTTCCAGGCAGACATTTCTCCCCAAGAGAGACATTATTCTGGAATGAAAGTCTTTTTCCCCACAAGAATCACACTCTGCTTTGTAAGAAAAAAAAAATATTTTAGACTCAGAAGTCCACTAACAGACCCGCTGTGATTACTTGCTCTAGTCAATGCACAGCTCTACAAAAACAAACAAACAAACAAAAAAMCATATGTGACAAGTCAACAGGAAAACAGTAATGTTTTGGAAAAGATTTGGCACTATACTACACCACTTGCACTTGTATATACTTTCTTTCATTAAGAAAGCACAAAATTCTTCACAAATACTAATTAACCCCCAGAGCAGCCCCAGAAATTAAAAAAAGAAAAAAAAAGCAAGCCCTTTACACAGAGAAATTGACATAGAAATTGAATACGCTACCCACAACACAGTTTCCACTAGCAAAGAAAGGAATTAAGCTCCCGCACGCCATTCCTACACATCCCTGTATGTTAATGAGGAAAGGGGAAAAGACAACAGAAAGAACTGGAGGACAGAAAAACAGTCTGGAGAAAGACTAGTTGGGATGGAATGCAGGAAAAAAGCAGGAAGAAAGAAATCTCCTAGAGCAGTAATGTTGGGCAGACGCTACTCACTGCCCAGAGACGCTGGAAAAAAACTGAGACGAGAGCAGCTTTGTGTGGAAAGGTTGAACATAAGCGCTACAGAGCAGGAATGGGAGCAACAAGGGAGCAGCAGGGGAAAAAAAGGAGGAAAAGCAAAGGAGAAAGAATATAGTGAAGCAATTTTAAGTAAATGAAAACAGCAACAAAAAACCCACCACACAACTCACTGCAGCCTCACCTCTTGGCACTGGTAGATAGCAGCTTAGAGTTTTTACTCATGCTGACTTTGCTCTCCTTCTTCTTAGGCGTGCTCGCCTCTTTCTCTGTCTGTTGGTTGGAGGATGAAGATGAGGAGGAGCTGGTGCTGGCCCTCGAATCGTCATCCGACATAGCGACCCCCCCACCACACACCCCAACCTGGAGAGGAGACACCATAGGGTGTGGGGAACAAGCAGCGAACACAAACACACACGCAGAGAGGCAGCTGACGGTCTTGCTCTGAGTCTGGGCCACGCTCCTTTGAAAGGGTCCTCGTGTCCCCCTCTCCTTGTGTCCCCCTCTCCTCGTGCCCCCCTCTCCTCACCAGGCCCTCCAGCCCTGGCAGGAGCAGCAGCCTCCCCTGCACTAGCAACACCCGGGAGGAAGGGACTTTTAAAGCTTCCTCTCAGAAAGCAAGTGAGGAAAGAGAGGAGCAGGGACCAGGCTCAGGGAAGGTCCAAGCAATTCCTTCCAACCTTCCCCTGAAATGCATGGAGAGGAGCCATCAGCACCCCCTGCTACCCAGCTGAGGGGTGYAGGAAATGAAAAGGGAGCTGCTCCAGCCCCTCGGCTTCCCTGGAAGCGTGGGGGGAGCTGGGAAGAGACAAGAGGGCCACCCCTGGCAGCGCTAAAATGGAAGTGGGGCATCGCTGGCAACAGGGGCAGACCCCGAAGGAGGATGTGGAACCTGCCGGGGCAGAAACCCCTGCCCGCCGCATCTGGGGCTGGGAGCGAGGGGGGATAAAGGGGAACGGCTAAATAGGGGCTGGGGGGCGTCGAGGGCACCCGCGGCCGGCCGGGGAGCCGGGAAGGGAGCAGAGGGGCTGCG